AAGAGGTTTGCTTTGTATGTCAATGGGTTTTAAATTTAAGTAATTCAAGTCAGCATTACATGGACTGTTCTGCTGTTACAATTAGTGTTAAAACTGTAATTGAATTTTCTGGATGTTTAAACTTTATTTTAAATCTGTAGTAGTAGTAACTGTATCTTAATTTCTTTAGAAGTGACTTTTGTTTTAACTTTTTTGAAGATAGCATTTGTTTATATTCCATTAGTATCACTTCAGGCCGAGACTCCTGAAACATGTTTTTGTATGAGTTTTTCTCTCCATTTGTATAAGAATTCTGATATTTACAAATTTTCCAATATTGACAATTAATTAGTCTGCCATGGACAATTTTCTCTTTATTTTAATTTTTTTTTWAACACTATTACCTATTTATTTATTATAGACCCATAGACCAATATTTTACAGCATAATATTTTCTCTATAAATGTTCCAAAGACAGAAATAAGATAGTATGAAGTTATAGTATCAGTATATTGCATGTTACAATTCAGGATTACGCTGACTTCTTTAGAAGTCTTAGGGTGATCAGCAACTTCAGCAGTTGTATCTTGTCACTATCTTTCAAGCAGTTCACAAGGGAAGGGCTGACAAATTCTAATAGCAAGAGAATTTTGCTTTAATTAGTTATGTTATTGGAGAGTTAATTAGGAAGTGTGAATACTCCACCCAAAATCAGGTCTTTTTGTTTCTAAAAAAAGAGAAATGTTCCCAAAWGGTATTAGCAGTTTACAGTGTTATGGCAGGGACTTAACTTGTCAGTTTGACTAATTAGCTGATGGTTCTATGATAACTTTAAATAACTCCTGTTTTAATCATGAGGGACAACAGTTTCTTAGATCACAAACACAAAATACTAATGAGACTTGGTACAAAACATTCGGACATTTGGTTAACTTTAAAGAAAAGGGAACATCAACATGAAATGCTAACTAAATATAAAACTTTCTGCACTAATCTTTACATTGGAAGCTCTACTCGTATCTTTGCATACAGTGACTTTTTCACTTGATCTGAAATGAAATCTGCATTCATTTGTATCCAGACATGCCTTTGATATGGTGTTCTTTTAGGGCTGCCAGGAAACTAAGTCTCCTGGATCAATTTCTGTTTGTGGATATGCTGAGATATTTCCACTTCTCAGGTAGAAGGACTGCAAGAACACAAGCACTGTGTAGATGAGGTAAAAAGAGAGGAGGGACAGAATACTATAGAGTCATTTTCTAGGATTAGTTGGCCTAGGAGAAAGTCATTGCTTAGAATGTTTATGCTTGCAGCCAGGAGAGGCGATCAGCAGGATAAATAATATAGTGACCATTTGAAATCCAAGTTCCCTTTAAAAATGTAATATCTACCCACAATCTCCCCAAACATAAGGAGTCCAGTTCCCTTGCAGGCCTGGCAAGGCTAGCACATGTGAGGGGTATTAAATATGGCAGGCTGTCAACCCCAGAGAGGATTTTTAATTCATTCTGTGATGAGATTCCAAATATCCTCTCCTGTTTTTATRTCTTAGTCAATTGCCCAGATGTTTGTCACATCTGAGAGATTAGCCTTCTCTGGTTGCAAGAGAGAAAGGCAGTTATTTTGGAACAGCTGATCTCTTGTCTACAAGACATTTGAGAAATTGCATGGAGAATAGAAGAGAAATATTTAAATATCCTTAGAAGGACAGCTAATTACACATRGAGGGATAAAACCTTGAGGGTATTACAGCTGACTTCCTTGAAGCCTGACTTCCTTCCCTTGACAGTGGTAGAAATGTTTTTAAAATAGAAGAATAAGGTTATCATCTGTCAAGGAGTTACGTGTTATATGCAAACCAACACAATTAAGTGTCTACGGGCAGGAAAACTAATCCAAGTATTCTTTGTAAAATGACCATCTTCTTCTACCAGACTGATTATCTGATGGTAGATTTACATTGTATGTCTCAAAGTTTCTCAAAAATTGCTGATATTTTTGAAGTTACAGAAAGGAAATATGACTCAAAAAGAATACAAAGTCTTATAAAGGTTTGGTGGTAATAGACACCACCATCCTTAGAGAAAGAGGTATCCTGCTYTCAAAAATTACAGGAAGAAAGAAGTCTGCAAATTTTGGGACATTTGAAAGAGACAGAGAAAAAGTTAGAGAACAAGAAAGAGCTAAATGTAGTTTATGAAAGGATAAAATTATGTTTAATATTTGTACTGATGTGAAAAAAAAGTTAATAAAATGAAAGTCAAAGAGAAAGTTTTATGCAGGAAAAAAAAAGGTGCTACTGCTACTGTGGAATAGATAAAAAAAAAGAGAGAGATTAAATTAAAGGTGTGCAGTGCTTGGAAGGTGAGTCATGAGGAATTATGTTATGAAACAGTATGAATGGTCAGAAACAGAATCAATCAAAATATAGTAGATAGCAGGAAGATGAGTGATATTTTATAATTCCAATAAATACTTTTTCCATGAAAAACTGTTGAAAATTAAATTTCTGAATTTAAAAATCTGGAAGCAAACAAAATAGTGAAAAYATTCTATTACACTAACTGTTAAGAACTATCATCAATGGTATCATTCAGTTTCTTATTTAGTTCAATAAACATTTTCTTCTTTCTATCCTGATAATTTGGAAAGGTTTGCTTCTTTTTTTAGTTTGCAAGTAAATTCTGTTTTGAATGCTACTTCTGAAACTTAAATGATTATTTCATCATGAATCTCRCCTTGTGAAAATAAATGTCATGTCTTCAACATTTGATCAGTCAGTTAATAAATGTTTTCTGTTTTGAACATATCCCAGCTGGTCTGCCAAGGTGAAGAGCAATAGAGAATGAATTAACATATGAAAGCAGAGATTAGAGCACACATCGTATGGGTTCTGTTGGCAGGTTTTATTTTRTAGGGCAAAAGAGTAGACCTATCAAAATCAAAATTAAATTTGTTTCTTATGACACATACATAGCTATGTTATACTCTGCTAGTTATCTTTGAAAAATGCCCAAGTTGTGACATCTTTCAGCAAGTATAAACAATTAACAAGTTTTTGTTAGACTTTGGTTATTGGTAAATGAAGTACATGGAAATGTACACAGGAAAGACATATTTTTTTCAAACAGAGATATGAACTATTGTTGGATCCAATATGCAATATCATATTCCTTAGTAATCATTTTGAAGGGTAATTTTTGTATTATTTTATCTCAATTCAATTTTTTTTTGTGTGTGTGTGTGTTTGGAAAAGAATAAATTTGTTTCCTTGCAAGCAATTACAGAAAATCTATTACTTCAATTTTTCTCCACAATTCTCACTAAATAAACAAAATAGTGAGTATATTTATAATTCATGTTTTTCCCATCTCAGACACAGCAACGGTGGCACAGATTGTGAATCAGGACAGGAGCTGTATGGTAACACTGAGCCAAAATGTGCTTTCCACACGTGGTCTAGGAAAAGGWATAGAGATCATTTCCAGTCCATGGCATGGCATTATCCAAATCTCTTTCAATAAATCAAAATTTTCTCTGACTCAATTTAAAATAGATCTCAGCAAGAGATTTACAGGAAAAAATATTTATAAATATATATATGCACACACTTAAACCTTTTTAAATATCTTATGTTGGTGACTGTGTTTGGAGGAATTGCTGGTTTCTAGGATGGATTTCATATAATCAGTGAATAACCTAGTTTTGTAAAGTTACTTGCACAGAGACCATGCTCCAAAACATTYTTAAAGCAATAAATAAAACAGCTGAACTTAAATAATAAATAATGACATATAAATGAGATTTTAAAATAGTTTCAGCATATGAGGAGGGAGAGAAGTAAAACAGGCTCCCAGCAATGAAGACTAATTAACAAATGAAATTGCGTAGACAGCACTAAAATGAAATTAAATTCTCTAATCTACACTACAGGGTAAAATATATACTATACATGCGGCTCTGAGATTAGACAGATAAAACTCCTCTCTCTGTTCTACAGAGAGARACTGATGTCAGATATATGTGTAGTAGTACTAGTGTGTGTAGTAGTATATATCCCTCTCCGCTGTCAAAGTTACTTTGCAGTGCAGCAATACAAAGCACATAATATTAATAAATTTCTGATTAGTACTTCACAGAAAGGGGCCTCTGCCTATTTAAATGCTCAACACAAAGACAAGCTTGTGAATGTGTCGTAAAGAAGATGAATTAATAAGTTTAAATATATACATGTGTGTAAAATTAAAGAGTCATCAACTGGTTGATGTCCACTTTTCAGCTTGGACCCACTTGGAGTCCAAGTGGGGACTTGGGATCTTGGCGGGGGGCTTGGACCAACTTGGGGTCAGTTACAGTATGAGAACCGTGCACCTTAATACTTTATTTAAACAATTATGAGCTTAGTAAATTATTTCTGATTGCGGAAACACAATTCAGCTATTTGCATTGGTTGAATTATGCAACAAATGCAACAAATGGCTRTTTTGTCTTGAGTTATTAAACTTTCATAAAAGGAAACTGCTGATATAAAAAAGAAAAAAAAAATCTTTTGCATAATAAATAATCTTTCAGCTTCTTCCAGTACCAGAATCTGGGGAAGAGTGGGAAGAGACTGATGGATCTAATTTGTAACAGACCCGCACTGAAACAATAAGACCCACCTCGCTCTGGCAGCATCTCTTTTTTTTACAATAGGGGTAATTGATACAAATGCTTTGTCTCATAGGCAAGAAAATTAGGTAATGCTATTTATATATATTCTCTGCAAAGACCTAGAGAAACATCATATGTCTTTATATAAACAGTATGGGAAATACATTTGTTAGGTAGGTGGAACTGTTTTGTATTAAGTGGCCATATTCTAATACTTCAGCTTTACCTTTCTAAATGGAGTACTTTGGACAATGAGGAGTGTTTTGTGGAAATCATGAATTCAAAAGCCATATTTTCTTTTATTGAAAGTTTGATATAAAAATGTACTGCTAATTTCTTTTTCCTTGTTTTGTTTGTTTGCTTTTTAGGATTTATTTATACCTGTGGTGGAACTCTAAAAGGTCTTAACGGCACTATAGAAAGCCCTGGCTTCCCATATGGATATCCAAATGGTGCAAACTGTACTTGGGTTATAATAGCAGAAGAAAGAAACAGAATACAGATTGTATTTCAATCCTTTGCTCTAGAAGAGGAATATGATTACTTATCATTATATGATGGGCATCCTCATCCTGCTAACTTTAGGACAAGGTAAATAATAAACTTCTTTAAAATGTGACCTCTGTTTGTACGTTAAATRTATCTAAGGAGCTAGTAAAAGCTTATGTCTTTATGTTAGAGATTTTAGCTGTAAAAGCATATGTCCAGCCTTTAAGGTGTATGTTTTCCTTAATTAAAAATGACATGTGATATGCTTTAAATCTATGTAAAGTAGTTGCTAAAAACATTTCTAGTACTGTCATAAAACTTGCTGTCTTGACAAAATGCAATGAACTCAGAAACATATGGGAAACAAACAAGTGTTAAGGAATGTTGAAATAGTGCTGGTCTCAGTTTGTATGAGGTGTCAGAAATGGACCATAAAAGTAAAAGAAAATTAGCTTGAAAATCAAGAATATAATCAGTTGCAGAACATTTTTTATCAGTGCATATTTCAGAACTATGAACCAAATGACTAGTTTTGGGGAGTTGCAGATTGAGGGATATACAACAAATTTGTAATAAGAATGCATATTTTATGCATACATATATTAGTGTTAACTGTAAAAAATAATGTAATATTCAAGTGTTGTCCAGTTTCATTTTAGTTTCACACAGTGTTGCTTTAAATAAAGTTAAATATTTTAATAATATATAATATATAATACATAATAAATAACATATATAATAACATAATAAATATGTTGATTTATTGTTTAATTTTTTTTTTTTTTAATCCCAGCTAACAGCACTACAAAATTGTCCACTACAAATTAAGATATTACAGGATATAAATTTGAACAGTAAAAGTTTTTATCTCAAATGTTTGCAGGGCATGAATTCTACTTACCAGGTCAGCAGCAAAAAGCAAACATGGAAAAATCTATCTAGAATGTAATTCTGTTTTTTTGTATGTCTTTGTTTCTATTTGTATTGCCTGTTTTATCAGTGATTGTGAGCACTTCTGATATTAGCTGCAGGCAAGCAGGCAGCCCACATCTGAAAATCAGGGCAAATCCAAGACCATACAGATAAATTTTTCTCCTTTCTTGCCACATCTCAAAAAATAAATTTTCAATGGAGATTTGATCACATGGAAGAATCCAGAAAGCAAAATCTTCATGGTCGGTCAGGATTTTCATTGCTTTATCTACCAGAATTGGTAATCCCAAAGAACAGTTGAAAAAGAGTCTTCATGGATCAAAAAGGAGTAACAACTGCTAAGAATTTAGGGTTCATACAAAGCTACTGTCTTAATAAGCATAAGAGAAAACAGGTAAAGAAACTGGTAAGATAGAAGGAAGAGGGAAACAACAGAAAGTTGCAAATATCTTTGCATATATCTTGTTCAGTACACTAAGAAGGGGTGTGTGTTTTCATACGCATAACTATCTTATATATAGATTTATTTTATATATATATATATATTACATATATATATTTTTATATGCATTCAAACAGGATTCCTTTTTGTTATAATAAGCCTCCAAAGTGGAGATGAGGTGTTTTGTTTTAGAAAATATATTGATACCTTGAGAAAAACAAGGTCAAGGAAGCCTGGCAAGCACTGTAGCATGCTCAAAAACTTAGGTATTGTGCATAACTTTCTGTTGAAAAAAATTAAAAAAGGATTTCTGTAAAACAGAAGAGAATAAGTTATCATTGGAAAAGGTCATCTTCCCTTTAAGTCTWGAAGTAGCTTTGTTCTGCATGTCTTATGAGATCTTTGTAGCATGTCAGTGCAGGAGAAAAATAGTGTACATTTGTGTGAGAGTGGAGAATCAAATTTTTTTTTAATAACTTTAATAGCAAAATTATGCAAGCTCTACTAAATTTTCTTTTTCACGGTGACAGGTTTGCTCTCGCAGATTGCTGTAGCAAGTAGTAAGTCAATGTTCCATGGACTCTTCTTTCTAAAAAAGCTGTTTAGTTAAATCAGAAAAAAAAAAAAAAGAAAAAAAAGAAAAAAAAGAAAGTATTTAAGTGCAGTGCTTGCAGAAACATTAGTTCTAGCATGAGAATGGATTTTATTGTTTTATCTGGTAATTCAGAAAAAATATGATCAAATGAACTGTTTTCCCTGCTTCACTTTGTAACAGACAAAAATATTCTCTAAGGCTTGTACAGGTGTATCTGTACAAATATACAACCATGCAGCTAATAAAAAGTATTGCAGACTGTGATAAGACCACCCTATCTCTTTTTCTGCTTTAGTACTTTAATTGAAGGAGGTAGAATATGACCAAAAAATAAAAGGAGTTTTGCAGTTGGGCTGTTTCTGAATCTCCTGAGTTCTGATATAGTATTCCAAACACTCCAGCCTCATCCAACATTRGATTTCCTTGTTTAATTATTCCTTTTAAAATTTAATCTTGTTGAAATAGGCAGAACGTGGATTCTGTTTGCACTAATGCTGAGAAATCTCGCTTTTAAATGAAGCTAATGAAAGATAACGATTTGGGCTGATAAAACATCACATGAATCAACAACTTTGAAAAGCTGTCTTTGGAGTTATCTGATGATCTCTTCTGCATGTTATGAAAATAAATTGTATAATTTGTAAAGAGTTCACTGTAGCATAGTGAGTACCATAAACCATGGGGCAGGAGGAGCAGGGCTGCTGCACAGGGAAGGATGAGCTGAGAGCAAAGTGAGCCCAGGACAGGCTGTGTCCTCACTGAGGGGCACAGACCCAGGAGGGCTGAATGTGTCAGCAGATCCAGGTGCTGGTACCAGGGTCCAATGACAGCCACTAACATAGCAAGACATGACCCAAGTCCAGGAAGACAGGGCCAGGGCTGGGGTTTGAAAGAGCCACAGCACAGCTCTTCAGTGTCCCCAAGAGCCCAGCTCCCCACAGTGCAGGTCCCAGGGGTCCTGCAGGAGCCCAGCTCCCCACAGCGCAGGTCCAAGGTGTCTCCTGGAGCCCACCTCCCCATGGCGCAGGTCCCAGGGGTCTTGCAGGAGTCCAGCTCCCCACAGCATAGGTTCCAGGGGTCCCTAGAGCCCAACTCCCCACAGTGCAGGTTCGAGGTGTCCCCAGGAGCCCAGCTCCCTACAGCAGTGGTTCCAGGTTCCAGGGTCCTGTGAGGTCAGGGCTGGGGACCCTCACTGCTATGGTGTCTCTGAGGCAGGGGCTGGGTTAAGCCAGAACAGAGCCCCCAGGACCRTAGACAGTTGCAGTGGGAGGGTCCTCTGTTGACTGAGGTGCAACCAGTAAGGGCTGGTGGTGCCTTCAAGATCCTGACAGCATAAGCAGAATCTGGGAGAAAATTGTATAATGATTGCCTCCAAAGCAAGATTTAAATATTCTAGACAAAAATATAAAGTTAGAAACTAACTGCACAAGAGAACTCTTCACTATTTAAAAGGCATATTGAAACAACTGTTTGTTTTAAAAGCACACTATTGGTAGCAGTGCTACAATGCATASGTAGACAGAGACAGCTGAGAAAATAGCAACTCCAGGTTCTGCTTTTTCTTCATAACTGTCTTACTTTGCAAGCTTCATGTTATTTTAAGAAAGTTCTGAGAATAATATATCATGCACTGTCAGTGTACTGTGCACCATATGTTTGCCCTTTTTTCTTAGAAATGCTTAGACTTGAACATTACTTTTAAAAGAGGTATGTCATACTCAGTAGGTATCTAAAATACCAGTTTGGATCTAATTATCATCACAATATGTAAAGTAATATTCAATTATTTATGGGTAATTCTAATAATAACTAGTGATTATCCATCCAAGCTTAGTAAATAGCAATAAGTGAATATATGTTAAAATTTCCAGTACTTGGCTAGTTAGTATATTTGGTATTTAAACATTCATCACAGGCCTATTTTAAACAAAGGCAAAATGCATCCATGCTGCAGATGTACTGAAATATAGTGAGTAACTCAATCCAGTGTATTTCTACCTTACTTTATAAAGTAAAAGAAACTTGCAAAACTTGATGCTCTGAAAGCAATTTTTAGTAGTCAAAAAGCATATATTTATTTCTAAATATTTTCCTGAAGTTTAAAATAAAACTCTTTAGTGACTGATAAATCTACTAGAATGTTCTGGTAAGCAAAATACAGAAAAACCCCACCAAAATACAGAGCATGAAAAGCTCCAGTATCAGCAAGAGGATATAATCTTTCTGTGACAGCTATTCATTTGTTTGTACAAGTTTAAACAAGTATGGCTACATTTGCCAGAAATTATGAGAAATGAGCATGTAGCAAATTGGAGCAAATGTGAATTTTTGAACATTTAATAACAGTATATTTTCATTTTATTTTAGACAAAAAATTGGAATGAAAGCAAGCTTTAACATTTCCTATATTTAAAAGGCATTTGTGCTAATATTCATCTTTCCTAACAAGAAGTTAGTTTTTAAGCGAGATGAATCATTTTTCCATCTGTATTCCCCGCTCAAGAAAACAGTAATTGGACATGTTATCTTCATCCTAAAACTTCCAAAAGTTTGAATTCTGTAGTTTAAAAAAAAACAACAACAACAACAACAAAAAAAAAACTTGTACTTTTATAATACACAACACAGGAGTAAGTTTAAACTAAAGTTAACTAAACTGAAACAACAGCGGATGTTGATACATTAAGAATGTGTGTTACTGGCTGTAAAATTGATTTCATTGATCATCTCAGCCCAAGCAGCAACATCTGAAAGCTTTGCCTCTCGCCACAGTATTAGAGCTAGTCCTGCTTCGGCAGGCAGGAAGGCTYGGGTGGTCCGGGCCAACAAGGGAACACCTGCATGGGCAGCTTGAGCACCCTGCCAGTGTCCATTCCAAGGCTGATGGTTTGGCACCTGCCTTCTCTTCCTGCATAATGTGTCAGGCATTATTGACAACAGAATCAAACACTTTGATTTGTCCCCCAGACACTGTGATTTATTATACAATCCACAGCCTACTCTCCCGAAGTAATTTACATTGATTTGATTTTGCATTGTTGGAAAACTGGCATCTTGGATCTTAAAAAAAAAAAAAAAAAAAAAAAAAAAAAAAAGGAAACAATTCTTGGAATGGGTTTAATTAAAAAAAGTCAATAATACTTTAATTATGTTCTTAAAGAGCAGTAAAATATTATGAATCTCCATCTTTAACAAGGAAAAATTATCACTCTAGAAGAAGGCTAGATTTTGCTTATAAAACTTTTCATTTGTAAAATAGATGAATTATAATTTGATGTCTAATATATGATAAATTGTCATATAGAGAAGGAAGGCTAGCAGGAGAATGAATGGCAATAACAGAAACTTCCACTTATTTTCTTTTGCTTGTTTTTCTGTTTCTTTTTCTAACTATGTTGAGTATATGTTTTTTTCTTACTATCGAACTATTGATAAAATCAGGGCGAAGCAGGCAGCAGTCAGGCTAAGCTTAGTGCAATTCCCAGCTTGTTACATGTCACTTAGTACTACCCTGGTAGCTACAGTAATCTTTTTCTCTACTG